CATGCTTTTCTATGGATTATCTGAATGACATCAGAGGAGGTAGGAGAGTCCCCAGCGCCAAGGGAGCCCGGCGCTGGAGAAAGGTAAGTGTTTAACCCCCTTCAGCCCGGCGGGAGTGGCACCCTGAGGGTGGGGGCACCCTCTGGGCACTAAAGTGCCAGGAAAACAAGTTTGTTTTCCTGGCACTATAGTGGTCCTTTAAAACCAAAAGCAAATTAAATTGAATTTAAAAAAAAAAAAAAACAAGAAAGGAAGTGGCAATAAAATATAGTTTTGCTGAATAAGGTTGTGCAAGAAGTGTAGAAAAAGGAAGTTAGGCTTATTGATTTTTCTTGTCTGTTTTAGCTAAATTTAGCTACGAAAAACAAGTAGTGTTTTTAGCTTGCACGATATGCTACACTTACGCAACTGCTTGACTAACAATTATACCTTGTTTTGTTTTTCATAGAAACAACTGACTTTAAGTAGGTGTTTTTATTTGTTACCATATATTTATAGTGCCAATTATTGCTTAATATGGTAGAAAGAAATCAAGCCAGTAAAAAGATCTGTTGTTAAAAAAATATATATTCTATTCTATATTTGTACTTGTACAGAATAATTTGTGGTATTTTCATTGTATATAGAAATATCTGATCAACGTCATTCTTCACTTGCGTTCTTTGCTATTGTTTAGGGATTTTAATGAAGAAATTGCAATAAAAGGAAATGTTTAAATCTGCTAAATCTTAGATAGGGTCTTTGTAGCCATGCAAGATTTATTGACTTGGATATTAGAGGCAGAAGAAAAAAGAAATGACTTGTTTTATTTCCATTAAGCATAAACCATGTTTATAACATATGCACAAGCCCAATATAGTATATTTTAACAAGCACAACCTGTTACTGGCTATAAACCACAGAGGAATGTTATTATATCCTGGGGCAAAGCTAATATAGTAAAACAATACTGTAAAGTCCTAAAGCCTTTAAGATTTTATTGCGCTGCCCAGTGTATACAGCAAGGTTCTGGACTCTGTCTTTTCAACACGTTTACTAAACATGAGTGATCTGTACAGGGCTGGCCTTAGGCCTTCAGGTGCACTGTGCAAAAAATCTGAGTGATGGCCCTCCTTACAATTCCTGAGATCTTCTGCAAGCCTTTAAGCTGACTGAGCATTATAAGAATTGAAGTTTTCAAACATATTTCTGGATCATGCCTTGCAGATACAGGTGAAATGTCATTTTCATTAGGTTCACTAGTTTTAAGGCCTGACTGAACATTAGGGCAATTGTATATTACATATACAGGTATTTTATCAATTCCCCTTAGGTGCACCCTGTTAAGCTTCGTATCTTTCTTATAGACTGGTTATGTATCTCTTATTATCCCTCATAGGCATTTCTCTCTAGCCTCCTACAAGAATCTGTCCCTAGCCTCATATTTGTATCTTCCCAGGTCCTTCAGATCACTCTCCAAAGCTGCCTTAGGTGTATTTTGTTAGCCCCCTGTTTGTCGTCCTTCTCTCTGACCAGCCTGTTCCTGTAGTGTACTCAAGCTGTTCTGTGAGGAAATTGTCATGCAGTTCAGCATTAATAGTAAGCCCTCTTAGACCTGAGGGCATTCTGTCAGTGGAAGGGACAGAAAGATTAAGTAAAGTCCAATCCCAGCCACATGCAGGGTTTACTGTGATAACTGAACAGGATGGCAAATACCTCACTGAGTGCGGATAGTTTGACCACACTTCAAGATTCATGTATGGAGGACGTTTCTTCCCAATGTACCTTCTATAATGTTTGTAGGCAGGAATAACTATAAGGCGACCTCCTAGATCCCAGGGGTTGGACAGAGGCCCCAAAACCACAAATTTGCTTGGCCCCATTCACCATTACTGTTTGGGGAGCCATGATCAGGGTAATTCTCATTCCTGGGCTGCCGTACGGTCTTAAAGGCAACATAACCAATCTGGCAATTTTGTTTAATGTGTAAAAATTGAAATAGCCAAGCCATATATTTGACCTTGTAACTTTCCAAAACACTATAAAACCTGCACATTGAGGGTGCTGTTTTGAGACATTGCTAAACAAATATAAGTGATTTATTGCAGTAAAAGCTAACAGTTTTGGGGGCTGAGCCTGACCGTTGATGGCAGCATAAATCTGTAGCTCCCTCTTCCCAGCATATTGAATCCGACACCATCCGCAAGCACAAAGACTTAATCACACACAGAGAACAAACAATCCCCACCACGCTCAGCCAGGAACAATCTAGAGCGATGGGAGGCGGAAAACAGAAGAAGGAGCAGACTCCATCGGTCGCCACAATGTTCCGCTCACAGCAAGAACAAGGCTGGCCATCTTGCTGCCAAAACACAGAAGAAACTGGCACAGACTCAGACGAAAGCGAATATAACAGAACCACTGATGCCACCTGACCATGCACAACATGCAAACCATGCTCAGGGAAGCCACTGCGGAAATTAAGTCCCACCTGGCGCTTGAACTTGACAAACGACTCTCACGGAATCAAAGAAGACATCGAATCCCTGACAAGCAGGACCAACCACTCGGAAGCACGCATAAAGGACCTAACCACATCTTCCCAGGCACACTCTCAAGACATCACTTACCTGCACACTAAAATTGAAGCAATGGAAGAAAGCCTGGAGGATCTGAACAACAGATCCTGAAGAAATAACATTTGGATCCAGGGCCTACCCGAAGCGGTCACAACAGAAAGCCTGCACGCCATACTCAAAGGCCTGTTTAAATCAATCCTGCCTGAGGCTTCCACCCAAGACTTGCTCCTAGACCTGGCACATTAGGCCCTAAGGCCCCCAGCATTGAACCCAGATGCCCACAGGAACGTAATAGTCCGCCTGCATTTCTTTGCCGTTAAAGAGAAGATCCTGAACTTCGCCTGAACAAACCCGTCACAACACCAAGGGGCCCACTTGGTTTTCTATCAAGGCCTCGCCCCCTCCACCTTGAAAAAGCGAGAAGGGGGCGAGGTGCAACTGACCCTTACACTTAACCACCACGGTATTGGATATAAGTGGGGCCATCCATTTAAGTTAATTGTACAAACAGATAACCAGACCCACGTACTCACGAACCCGAGTGAGATGATCCCGTTCGCTGACTCTCTGGGCCTCACCCTACTACCTCCTCCTCCGCTGTCCTCCACGGGCACAAGCGGCATACAAAGAGCCCAGCGGGAGAGGATCTCTGGATCCAAACGATGTCGTCGCAAGAGAGCGACGACACACTCTGAAGGCCGGGACTAATGATGACCACAGAACCCCGCAAGCCCGGGAGGTGCGTAAAACATTCACTACCACCCTCAGCACAACAGGACATGGCCCGCACCGAATACCCCCATCAAAACTACCATCCCACCGACCTCCAACGAAGCTGACCACAGGGGCCTACCTTACAATCCCGCAGTCAACCGGGTCCAGGCCCTTACCTCAAGCCCAGACACCACGAAGACCAACGCCCCCCACGGGGCTCCGCTTAACGAACCCCCCCCCCCCAAAAAAAAAAATGACTCTTGCCTACCTTCAACCGGGACCCATCTGGATCGACCAGCTCCATCCACCACACTCTCCAGACCCGGCTCAGAATATGACCAGAACTCCAAGATGAGCCGCACCACCTTAGGGCCTTCGGCTCAACGCTCAAGCCTGCTGCTACACGAAGGACTCTCCGAAACCAACAGTGGACTAAGAGGGTAACTGGGTATTACCTAATGCAATACAACCTACGCAGCTAATTAGTTTACCTTAATTTCAGCTCATTTACCTTGATTTCACTTACTTGGGGACATAGTGGTGTATGGGGGGTCAGCGTAGGGGTACCCACCTCTGGGCTGACTTAATCTAATCTCACTCTGGCTGCCCTGGTCTGCTCTGATTTACTAGCAATCTAACCTAAATCTATGGGATCTCACTGGAATTAACTGCTTGTCGCCCAGCCGGTGCAGCAGAGCAGACCCGGCACCTCAATCCAATCTAATTGAAGGTACGGGCTTTACCTAAACAGATTTGACTTGATACTATCTATCCTATCTCGATGTATTTCACACTCAAGACATCTAGCTGAACCCACGCGGATTTAACCATAATGATGCTTAATTCATTTTACTCCATTGTACTTAATTGCATGTCAATCCGCTGCACAACACCAAGGTATTCACATGCAGCTCCCCATCTCAAGAGACCACGCCCCCCTTCCCTCCTTCCATTGAGCTCACCTCGACCAGACCCGTCAACAACGGGAAGACTAACGCCAGCAGCAGCCCAACTCATCCACTGAAGCCTTGACCTGCAATCTCCCTGACCTAGATCCACACTACCCACCCCCAAGGCACAGGAAACCATATATGTACCCAGAGTCCAACTCTATCCCCCCCAAACTCCCCCTACCCCTCCACCCCCAATGAAACAGACCACCCTTGAAGCCAGAATGGGGACCCCAACATAACAAGCACCCTCCACTAAAACCCCCGGCATCACTTCATCTCAACCCCTCTCACCGAGGAACAGACCACACTACTCCACTAGGAGATCTTGCACTATAACTGCAACCAATACCCCTCTCACATGAGACACAGGATGCGAAATGTACTGATTTATAGTTTACAGTTACAATGTAATTTATGGTTAATGTTATTCTGAAAAGATATGTATGCCTGTTTCACACCCAAATGAGACCGCACTGAGACAACATAAACCTAACCACAAAGCAAGACACAAAGGTAGCATAACACCAAATGCCCTACGCGGCAAATAAGACACCCAACCCATTCAATAACTGTTCTCTGTCCACAGAAATCAACTGGGTGCGTAACCCGAGACGCAGATGCACAGGGAGGAGGGAGACGTAGATACAGACGTACAACCACCTTCTTACTCTCCCCTCCACCCACCGACTATCCTCATTGGACCTATGAGGTACCAACCAGACACTCCGAACCCCCAAGACGACCTGGCGACACGAACATAAGACCAGGTTTGCACCCAACACCCACCCTCACACCTCCCCTACTTTCCCTTCTTCTCTCTCTCCCCTCCCCCGAACCTCTCCCTTTCCACCACTTCCTCCCCCCACACATACTACCCCCTCCACCACAAACCCCCAGATCCCCCCATTCGACTAAAGAGCCCAAAATGAGGACCTCAGGATGCCCTCACAATCCCAGCAGAACCCACCCTCAGGACCAGGGGACAAGGGAGGCGTTTGACCCGCCCACATCACATGCCTATCCATTAACTGCAAAGGGCTTAACAGCCCGGCCAAAAGACATCGCCTTCTCCGGTGGGCCAACTGCTCCAAAGCTGACGTAATCCTACTCCAGGAAACCCACTTCGAACAGAAAAGAGTATTCCCTCTCCGGAGCAGACACTACAAAGAGTGCCACCTCGCAAACTCTCCGCGCGGGAAAACGAACGGGGTGGCTATAATGGTTCGTAAAACCTGCCCCCTTACCTCCACACGTACAGTAACTGACCCCCAAGGGAGATATATAACACTGATAGGACACCACCGATTTTGCCTTTTCCTCAATATACGCCGCCACCCACCCCGACACCCACTTCTGGGAATCCCTCCAGACGCACCTCCGCCTCTTCTCCTCCCACCACATAATCATAGGGGTTGACTACAATGCTACCCTGTCACCAGAAATAGACAGACAAAGACCTAGGACAACACACACCGGACCCCTGCCCTCTACCCGAAACGACAAAATGCTACAAGCCTTCGTCTCCCGCACACAGCTTATAGACGCCTGGAGAATACTCCACCGCGGCCGACTACACATTTTACTCAAACCCACACTCGTCATACTCCCGCATAGACATGTTCCTTATATCCCCCTCCCTACTCCCACACGTCACAAATGCAACAATAGGATCAATAACCTGGTCGGACCACGCAGAAATACTCCTCTCCTTCACCCTTCCACACACAATCAAGAACTGGATGTGGAGACTTAATCCCACACTCCTCCATGACAGGTCCATAAGAGAAAATCTCCAAACGGATATAGCAGATTACTTCAACGCAAATACAGGCTCCGTCACCTCCGCATGCACTCTTTGGGCGGCCCACAAGGTGGTCATACGGGGCAAACTGATAGCAGCAGCCTCCGCTCATAAAAATCAACGGCTTAAAAAATTAGAAACACACCTGACCGCCCTCAGAACACTCGAACTCCAACACAAAACGGGACCTACCCCCGCCCTACTAACCCAAATACAGACACAAAGACAGGAGATTCTCAAATTCATGGCACAAGACTCCAAAAAGGCCCTCCAGTACACCAGATAAATGTTTTATGAGAAGTCAAAAAAAAAGACACGCTCTTAGCCCACAGACTCCACAAAAGGACGCGCAATAAGCAGGGGCGGACTGAGAACCCTCAGGGCCCCGGGCAAAATAAATCAAGGGCCCCCTTACAGGCCCCACCCATACTCTGCAGCAAGCGCCACCCTTGTCCCGCCTCCATGCACCGCCTCCAGCCACACCCTACACAATCTTTAGACACAAGGAACAAAAGGGCAATAAGCCCTTCGAGGCCCCAGTAGAGACTACAATTGAGGGCTAATGGGCCATGGAGGGGGGTCTTTCTAGCGGAGGCTATCTCAGTGTCCTTTAGAGAGTGTGTTAGAAAGAATCCCCTCCAAGCCCCATTAGAGACTACAATGGAGTCTAAAAGGCTTGGAAGGGGGTCTTTCTAACAGAGGCCATCTCAGCGTCCATTAGATATCCCCTGCTGGAAACAGTCGCCTCCAGGCCCCAGTAGAAACTACAATTGAGGGCTAATGGGCTATGGAGGGGATTTCTAGCAGAGGCTAGAGTCTAATGGGGCCTGGAGGGTGGTCTCTCCAACACTCTGGTTCCTATTCACAATATAGCAACACAACATAGCTCGCTGATACCTAGGCCAAGTTGGCTCCTCTTACCTTAATTACTGTTGCTGGCTGGCAGTCTGTGGGCTTGCTGGCTGCTGCTGGCAGGCTGTGGGCTTGCTGGCTACTGCCGGCAGGCTGTGGGCTTGCTGACTGCGGCTGGCAGGCTGTGGCTTGCTGGCTGTAAGCCTGTGGCTTGCTGTAGGCCTGTGGGCTGGCTACTGGCCTGTGGGCTGGCTACTGGCCTGTGGGCTGGCTACTGGCAGCCTGTGGGTTGGCTGGCTGGCTACTGGGGCACTTGTAGATTATTTAAAGAAATAATCCATGCACAATAACCACTACTGCTCCAGAGTAAGTAGTCAAACCGCTTAAGAACAGTTTGACAACTTACCTGGGGTCTGCTGGGATATGAGGCTGTAGTAGGGAATAGGAGCAGTGGTGCAATGTGTGTGAAAGGTTCAGTGTGTGTGTGGGGGTGTAGTGTGTGAATGTGTAGAGTGTGTGGGCAGTGTATGTGTGTGGCAATGTTAGTATGGGGGGCTGTGTATGGGGTCTGTGTGTATATGGGTGGGCAGTGTATGTGTGTGTGTGAGGCAATGTGTGTAAATGTGTATGGTGTGTATGGGGGCAGTGTGTGAATGTGTATGGTGTGTGTGTGGGGGCAGTGTGTTTATGGGGCTAGAGTTCACTCTCACCACTGCGACCACCAGGAATCCATGGGGTTATCCATGGGGGTTACAATGTTGAGAGTGAACTCTAGCCCGTAGCTCCAGGGCTAGAGTTGACTCTCGCAAGAGCAGTAACGTTGCCATGGTAACCGCGGCAACGCTCTGTGCTCGCGCAAGAAGGACCCAGAGGAGCTGCAGGGTGAGCTCCCAGGTCCTCTTTTCCTCCCCTGCCCGCACG